ATGTACTTAGACTAATACTCAACGTACTAGCTAAGTCATGGCTTTCAAGGGAACGTCTTACCGCGATCATCATAATTTATAAGTTTTACTAACAATTTAAGTTATAAGAAAACTTATAACWTTGCATCAACAATTCAACTTAGTAATTTTCACATGCTAAAGTTTTTAAGTACTTAGCAAAAATATAAATCATGCAGCAACGAACCTCACATGTAATTTAATTAAACACGTAACAAGTATCACCGAGACTCACCTTTGACTTAGTGAAAAGTCGCGGTTTTGCCCAAGGTTTCCTACTCTCAATTTGCCTTAGACTTCTACGAATAGCTTTGCCTTAGCCTTTGACCTAAAAATCTGTTCCAAAGGTTCACGGATTACTAAAATAAGATTTAGAGTTTTTGCATGGAAAATTAGATGGGAACGCCAACGGATCATACCTAGTTTAGAACATAACCTGCTGCAGACCCTCTCTAGATCTTTTGGAGCTTACCCGAAGTTGAACCTACGAATTTGAGATCGGTCGAGCCATCGGATCAAGAAACTAAGATTAGATTCATGATCAGCACGAAAAATCACTTTGAAAATGGTAAGGTTCGATCACGGAAAACTTACCCTAAGTTTTCCCAAACCTGCTCGACAAGGCTCGCGGCGAAACTACTCTATGGTTCGCAGTGGACTAGAAAATGGACTACTCGGTTCGGATAGACTGATCGGATGGGACGATCACGAACTAGGCTACCGTTTGCAATGAAAGTTTGCGGTGAAAAGAAGTTATGTTCAGACAAGGCAGAAATTCTCGTGTCTCTTGCTTACTAGGTCGGGCCGACCTTTAAATAGGCGCGCCCAAGCAGGTGAAGCAGCTGGACAGCTCACGGCCACTTGCCCATTCTTCACCCGCGGGTAACGTCCTAGGCTTGACACGAGGTGGTGATGATGCCTAAGACCAGGCGTGTGTGCAACACGCACTGGCGTGTGGTCGACACACTCGGGCACAACCCAAGCACGGGCTTACCCACGATCTACCCACGACCAGAGCAAGCACCCTGCTCGGTCACCAAGCAGCATAGCACGCTGCTTACCTTGGCTTCTGCTGGGTCATTGTGCGGATCATTACACACAATCTTACAGCTGAGGAAGCCGAAGATCTGAGAATTATGAGGTACAGTATTAAACATTAGAAGGAGAAAGAGATTGATAGCCGAGAGAGACGGATTCATGGCGGATGTCCTATGTCTATGCGAGAAGCAGCCATATTTCTAAAGGCAATGGGATATCCGTCTTCCACTACTATATATATAGTTGCTGGTGAAATCGATGGAGGCAAGAGTATGAATGCTTTCCGTGAACAGTACCCAAATGTCTTCTCTCGTTCAACTCATGCGACTGAAGGAGAGTTAGAGCCCTTCAGGGAATACCAGAAAGGACTTGCTACGCGGTCAGTAAAACCCACGAGATTAAAAGCCCATTAGAACACCCTACGAGAATAAGCCCACTAGAAAAACCCTAAGA